GGAAGACCAAACAGGGTTCAGTTGCATCTGTAGCGAAGGCTGGACTGGACACACCTGCACAGATGGTGATTGTCGATGCTGCTCACACTTGTGTCTTACTGAGCTGAGGGGCCGGGGCGCTGTGAGATTGTCCTTGATTGGTTATTATTGGATCAAAGCCAGCGAGTGACTCTAATCAATGCAACAGAGAAAGTTAAATTAGCCTAAACATCTTTCCCTCTGTGTGTGTGTGTGTGTGTGTGTGTGTGTGTGTGTGGAGGGGGGGAGGAGGGCGGGGATGCAGGAATGCATTTGTATTTGTATCACTAAAACAATCAAGACCCTCTGTTGGAGCACTTATAATCAGCAATTGCATTAATATAAGCAGAGGTGGCACCATGAATTATTACATGTTTTTTTTTTGTTTCTTTTTTTAATGGCAGTAATTAGAAGGTATTTATTATCAGGTTTTTTACTCATGTGAGCTTTTTCCCATGTAATGTGATTACTTTAATCACATAATTGGGAATTTGTGGAGTGACATCCGGTTCTCTTGCGATGTGCGTGAAAGTGAAAAAATAAGAAGTAGCGAAGTGTCTGCCAAGTGAATGTAAGCTGAGACTGCTGCTAAACACAAAAACATTACACAGTTGTGTTCTGGATTGGTGTGGCATTGTTGTTCTTGGCCTTATGTGGATGTCAGTTTGCTGTACAGTAGTCTGATGTTTTTCTTAAAAATATGCAAAGCCAGACTGTCTTTACTTTAATCGCACAAAGACAAGAGCAGCCTTTAAGGGCGTTGTGACATGCAGTCTCCTCTAACACATGCTGAAGCGTTTATTCAGACTCAGATTCTGCTGGATAAACACGACATCAGGCTTTCTCTGCTTCTGCTGGGTTGACAAAACCCAGTGAGAGATAACGATGGTGGTTATAAACGTTCTGCTTTCTGCTTCTCTCACATGAAACAGTGGCTTGACACCTCATCTTCCACGTAATGTAGGACAATGTGGCGGCGCATGCATCAGTTAGAGCAGAGGTGTCAAACATGAGGCCCGTGGGCAAGAATCGGCCCAGGAAAGACTCCAATCTGATCCACTGGATAGCTTTGTAAAATATAAAGAATGGCATAAATTTTGAATTGTGTAATGTATTTTTAGATGTTTTACAGCTTTTTTTCTATCTGTGAATTGCACCTCTTTTCCTTGTATCAAGATGGGTCAGAAATGAAATGTTAAGTTAAACACCCTTACAGTGAGAGAAAGGGGACTTTTACTAGTCCAGCCCATTTCAGATCAAAGTGGCCTCACAATGTAAAATGAGTTTGACAACCTTGAGTTTAAAGGCACAGGTTTGGAGAATGTCAAGAAATATGAAGGATATAGTCAATTCAAATCAAAATTAGCACAGTAGCACATTTTAAACAACCACAGGTGGCCAAAATCCTGTGAAAGATATACAAAACATACACTATGTATAATAGTTGTTAATTAAACAATTACAAATACACTCAAAATCCAATTTTTTTTTAAATATTTTGATTTTACCTGTCTGCCTGTGGCTTGTTACAGCTGTGTGTTAGAGCTCAGTTTCATTTAAACATAATCATTGTGACATGCAAATCAGGAGAAGATGTAATTCTGCAATAGGGGTGCTGGTTTAGGTCACTCAGCTTACCCATATGTTGTAAAGCTAACACAGAGGCCCAGGTTTGCAGCTGGTCTCATTCCCAGCTTTCTCGTTATCTCGCCACTATTTTATTAACGCGATACAAAGGCTAAAAAGCACAAAAATATGAGAGCAAAAGCCATTCTGACATAAATGAAAAAGGACAAATCCATTTTCAAATCTGTGCTCTGTTAGCTGTAATTACAGCGGTGTGAAATGGACTTGGCAGCAAAAAAGGAACAAGAATTTAAAAAAAGATATTCATGTTCTGCATCAACCGAATGCAGGGTAACCGAATGCACATAACTTCACTGCAGGGCTCCTTTCAGTGAGGCTAGTAGGATACATCTCAGGAGGGTGCCTGTTATCTATTTCGTGCTTACAGCATGTTGTCTGGAAAATAATTAGCCCAGTGAAAACCCAAAGTCTGGTCTCCAGTTGTGTGGTTAGCGCAAGTTACCATGGTGAAAATAGAGGCGCCTTACTGACCTACTAATCCTGCTTCATAGTACATGCCCCCCCTCTGATCTCCCATAAACACAGTTTTTCTTTTTCTTTTTGTGAGTATGAAAGATGTCAAATCATTAAACATAGCGCTTCATCCTTATATTCAGAAACTGTCCCTCTTAAAAGAAAGAAAGACGGAGATATCTCCACTAACAATCACAAGTATGCATCAAGCTCAGAAATGCTGGATTGTATAGTTCCCATGATCCCAATCCTGTAATCTGGGCTTTCTCTGATGTTATCAGGGGATTTTTTGTTTTGTTTTGTTTTTTGGTTTATTTTTTCACTCATTATAGAAAGTTCCTTCACAGGCACAGAGGACCTGATGCCTCTTTGAATTGCTTAACATCATGGTTTGGTGTAATACAAGTAAACCACACTTAAATATATGTCTGTTTGTAGGTTAAATGCTTTTAAAGACTGCGTTAGTTCCCGCTCACTCAGCCGCATACATTGTTTGATCTGCACGCGGCTAAAGGTCAAGCTGAGCAGAGCTGTCAGAACAGTCTGGGTTTCTCGGTCGTGTGGTCTGCTGTGCGTGTGTGCGTGTGTGTGTGGGTGGGTGGGTGTGTGTGTGTGTGGGTGGGTGGGTGTGCGTGACGGCAGGTGAGATTGGATCACACGGGTTATGGTCTTTCAAAGCTGTCTGTAAACAAGAACAGTTCCACATCCTCAGCTTTCACCTCGTGCAGGATAAACAGCGCTGTGGCATGTAAACAATTCAGCTGAAAGCATTTTTATCAAAGAGTAAGAGCAGAGGGATGAACGGGGGAATAAAAGTTTTGTTTATTTTTGCTCTTGTTGTTTGTTCCTCGTTTGATTAACAGTCAGAGAGGCGGCCTATCTCTGCAGGCTATGTGTTGTGCGGGGGGGGGGGACTCTCCAGGGAACATACAGCAAGAAGATTGTTAGGCTTGCAAGGAATGACAACCAAAACCACAACATAGCTTTGTTTTCAGACTAGATTTATATATATAACCAATATTAATTAAAGGCTTCTTTGTTTGTTATGAATTCTCCGTCTCATTTTTGGAGATGTGCCGTTAACTTGGCAGGATTATTGTTGTTCGGGGTCAGGAAAATGGAAAATGGTTCTTCTGTAGGGTTAGGTAAATGAAAAAAGGTTATGAGAGAGACAGAGATGTACACCACAGAGATATGCATGGGAAAGGTTATGATGCCCTCTTTAAGTTATGCATGGTTAACCCCTAAGTGGGGAGCTTCTCTTTGTCTGAATGTGATGTTTTTCCTGTTTTAAATTCCTTGTCAGATGGGTAGAACCACACATGGCAGCCTCATTTTTATTTCTGTCCAACCCCCGGCTTTGCCATCCTTTCCCTTATTCAAATGCGCTCCTTCCTCCCTCCTCTTTGTGAAAGATTTGAGATGATTGTATTCATCACTGTTTGCACAGAAACCAGAGCAGCAGAAAGAACAAAAACACGAACGCATCAAAGCTTCCTCACACCAATACTACCCTTCAGATCACACATGCACAAGCTGCCTCCTTAATGTTCTCACTCACGCTCCCGTCACACAGGCCAGTAAGTTCATATATATTATTCTCTGTTTGTCTTCTCAGCGGTGAAGCAGTGTGATCGCAGCCCCTGTGGCCATGGAGCAACGTGTGAAGAAGCTCCTGGAGGTTATCGATGCCTTTGTCCACCTGGATGGACCGGCAGGACGTGCCAGCTGGGTCAGTGGGTCATCGTATGCCTGCTCTTCTTTATCTTACTATAATACAACAAATTACTCTCTGTCTGCAAACTCCTCCCACACAATCAGGAGCTAAGCAATCAAACTTGGCACACAGGTATATCTTAGGCCCTTGAAGGTTCTTATCTATCCCGCCTTCATGTTGCCTAGAAACCACATACCAATGGGCTAAAATTCCCTTTTCTTTAGCATTTATGCGCCTCTATGTGCTTTTAGCTGCTGCCTTATCTGGCAAGGAGTCCTCAGAGCAGATTGATCTGCATCTTTGATTTGACAACGATTTTATTCATGACAGAACCCTCCCTGTTTATCCGGGCCCACTTTGCATGTAAGGTGAATGTGTTGACCGCAACACCACAGCATCTCTGCACCTACAACACCTTAAAAAAAAGCCACTGTGCCAATTTCGTTTCATAATAATGTCTAATTTCTATTTCTAAAACTTGAATATTATAATATATTATGACTCCATCATGTTGCCTAGCAACCTCCTGGTTGGTATGTACTAGTGTTGTAAAGTTTGCATAAATATAGTCACTTTCAGCACAGGGCCAGTATACCATAGTAG